GCTGGGAGGGGGTTACAGCAAATTTTGGGGTGCCTGCAGCTCCCCCCCCGAGCCTCCCTCCCAGCACTGTCTGCCCCGAGCACACCCCCCAAAAGAGCTCAGCGCAGCCCTGGCCCCAGCCCTGCCCTGCCCTCCTGGGGTGCGCATACTGGCGGGAGCTGCCCCCACCCCAGCCTCTGTCTCGATGAGCCACTCACGGTTCCATCCCACACTCTGTCCCACCCCGGCTGGGCAGCACCTGCCCCAGCTCCACTCCCTCACCATGGGGGCCTCGATCTCCACCCCCCCCACCCCTCCCCTGCCCCTTCCCCTACAGCTGGATGCTGCTCTCCAAGCTGCCAGGTTGCACTCCTGGCCACATGTATGCTGTGTTGTGGCCGTGTGGTTGCACGGGGCATTTATCAGCAACGTTATCAGCCACATCAGCCCAAAAAAAGCTGATTGCCAGTAATGTCAATTTTCCTTATATCTGTGCCAATACAATATGGGACCAATGTATCAGTGCACCTCTAATAGTAAGGGTTGTCCTGAAAGAGTGAAAGAGGCTCCATGGCTAGCCAAAAAGGTTCCTTGCTGCTCCTGATTCTCTACCTGCAAAGGAAGTAGAGGGCTTTGGTATGTGTAGCAGTGGTTCTCAAACTTTTTAGAGTCAGCACACCCCTTTGCAACTTTTCTGAATTTGGTGGCACCCTTGGTTGAGAACTTCTGTTATACTGCCTCAGCTTACTTTGGTGTTTCTCGAACAGGCTCTTGCCATGTGCTCCTGCCTGTATTGGGGTTTTCTGATAACTCTAAAGCAAGCATGAGCAGAAGCATAATTGAGTGTTGTGCCCTAGGCATAACTCCCCTATGCCCAGGGGAAAAGGAAGGTCCTGCCTGACTTGGGTGTCCTCAACTCCTCCAGTCAAACAGTGTAAAGGACTGTTGTAGCCCAGCCTGACCCCCTGACCCCTCTGGATGGGCAGTGCAAAGGGCTGTGGCCAGTATATACCCTCTTGCCATAGTCCTTCCTGATCTGACCCACCTGCTTCTCCCAGAAATAGAGGGATGCAGGACAGTCCTACATGCCTGGCACACCTCTGTTTCTGGAAGGAGTGTGTGGGGTTTAGACCAGGAAGGGCTGCAGAAAGAATATGGGTTCCAGCCGCAGCTGATTTTCAATCTGCCTCTGCAGGAGTCACTTGGGGCATTTCTCCTGGCAGCACCCATGCTATAACACCCCTGGAAGGGCTCATGAAACCCCATCTGAAAACCACTGTGCTATGTGATTATTCTGCGCTATAATTGTTCACTTGTAGGTTCATAGAGGCCACATACAGGTGTTACATTTTTACTGGGAGAATTGCAGCTCTCCTGCTAGAAACCACAAGTCTACAGGCGTTCACACAGTTTCTTCCAGAACAAAAACGGTGATTGTAAAAGAAGAAAAATAATCCATCTGTAACCCAGGAAAAGTTACTGCCAGGAGAATGAATGCCTGTACACTTCCCTCCTGCTTGACTCCTGGGGATAGAGAGGATTTGAGTGGTAGGGAAATGCTCCCTATGCCTTCTGAGACCAGTGACTCAGTCTGTGGAAATGTGGGGGAGCAGTTGCTGTTTGTTATCTCTGGGTTCTAGGAGGAGTTGAGCAGTGAGGAAAGGGCTCTTCTGTTTTCCCCAGACTGGGGTCATCCCAGTGGAGAAGGTTCAGGGGGAAGCTGCTCCCACCCCTCCCTGTCTCCAGAAGGGGATGAGAGGAGCAGCTTCTTGGTGCTTCCCGTTCTCCTTAAACTGGAGTTTCCAGCTTGGGGTGTTGTTGGGAAGGAAGCAGCAGCTTCTGGGTTCTTGGAGGTGCAAGCGCAGCTGCCCCCTGCACCTTCTTACACCATACTGTGGTGACCACCACTAGAAATGACCAGAAATTTCCACTGGTAGAAGTGAACGCCTGCCCTGGCCACAGTGTTCCTCCCCCTTCCCTGATGCACAACTTCACATATTCATAGATGAAATGCTAGAAAACTGAGAAGTAATTAAGTAGGACAAGACATGGTTCTTAAATGCACATAACCATTAGTTCATGGAGGTAGAATCTCCAGATTCTACATAATAGAGTAACTGTTCACATGATGGACAGGCAGGTGGTAGCTATATGGTGAATCTGTTTTTGAACCTGGAGCATAACTATAGGTGGGCTTTATAGCAACTTCCCTGCCTAAGTTTGAGTCTTTGTTGCCAGAAGTAACATAAACATCCATAGAACATACACCTTTCCTGGCCTCTTACGTTGCACAGAAGTCAGTGTTTGCGTGCTTTAAACCAGCTGTGGTCAACTTTTTGGCCCTGTAGGCCAGATGAATGGCATGGAGCCAGTCCATGGTCCTGATTGAGCCCTGGGCATCCAGCACTGTCGCTTCCCAGCCCTGTGCACTGGGATTGGGTACCTGATACAGCACACAGGGCTAGGGGTTCTCCATAGGTCTGGGCATTTGGTAGCAGGGGAGGGGTGCCACCACACCCCCACCCCAAATTTCTAGATTTGTGGAGAGCCCCGCAGGCCAGAACTTGTCTGTGGACTGGGGGTTAAGCACCCCTACTTCAGACAGTTATGTCACTGGTATCCAGTGTTTTATTCTGATCTAGCTCAGCTGGTGGAGTGTTCCATTCTGGCCTGGCTTGTCATGACCCAAAAGGCATGATTGTGTGTGTGTGTGCTTCGGCACCAGAATTATCCCCGCCAAGTTGCAGAGCATTGCATGGGAGTGTTTCCTGTTGCAGAGGAAACCCCGGTGCAGGGACGAGTTTCCCGCCTTTTCTGCAGCTTCTTTTGCAGAGTGCATTGCTCATGTTGCAAGAGGAATGCACGGTGCAAAAGAGTTCCCGCCACCGGTATGTAAATTTGTTCCCCGTGATTGGCTAGTGTTAAATTATTCACACATGGCGGCTAACGATTGGCTTGTTAGCCGTATAAGAGGCTTGAGCAGTTTCCGCCCAAGCCGAAGAGGACTCCACATCCATCTCGTGGGGACTCTGGGTACACGGCAGGGTAATAGAAACCCTGTGTGAGATCCAGAGGAGCTTGGCGGCCTGATCCACCGCCCACCTCTTCCCGTCTTCGAGCGCAACTTTTATAAGACGTATTTACGATTTCTATTTTGGTGGCTCGTTCACCCCGAGCATCCGGAGCTCTGCACCGTGGAGCCTAGCAACCTCCACGAGACCATCTGTGTTGTCTGTCTGTAACTGCAACTCAATCAAGCTTTCCAGCCTACACCATTGCCATCTCGGTGTAAGTAAACAATCTTTAAAACTACCGATACGCGTCTGTGCCTAATTCCAGCTCGACGGCCTTCCCTCTCCAACCTGGCGTGCCCGGGCTGCTGGCCACAGCCCGTGTGCAGCACAAAAAAGGGCTCGGGTCGCTCCTGGCCCGCACAGCTTAGCATAGTTTTTGCAAAAATCTTTGGAAAATACACTTCTGCAGCAGCATCCCATTAATAATAAAATGTATTCTCATTGCTTGTATATGAAACTTCTATAATGCTTCTTCCTTGTAATGCTAAAAGCACCTGAGAGAAAGTTTAACATGACGAATGTTGTACAGGAGCATAAATGTGGGGTAGGAAGATTTTTACATTCACTTCTGTGGTGAAGGGAGTATCTTTTTCTTTAGGCAGCTCCTCCAAGAACAGGTGGAAATATTGACCTTCTCATTTTTTCTAAACACATTGTAAAAACATCCTATTTCTGAAAGCTCCCAAGTTTTTAAGTTTCTAGCTGTTTTGTGAGCTAGTTGCTTACTTTTGACTCAGTAGTTTGGTAGCATTGAGTTTGGAATTCCAAACCAGAAGACATCCTTGTTCTTACAGATCAACATTTACCCAAAAAACCTTGTCTGCTTATGTCCGTAGACCAACACAGCTACAACTTACACTCCTGAAACACATCTGAGCTAGAGGATTTATCTAGAGAAATTAAGAATTTTTAGCACACTTTGTGCTGACCCTACTAACCTTCATATCTAGAAGTCATAAGTGCCTTAGGGTACAATATCTCATAAATTTACTATAGCATCCTAAATAAATGTTCATAAATGTAACAAAAAAAATCTTAAGTAACTGATGTATCCATCAGAGTCTAATTTGGACATGGAACTGGTCTCTTATTGTATTTCTGCTACTCTAAAGGTTTATGCAGGAAATTTGCACTAGAGCTTTGCTGGAAAATATGTCTTAATTATATTGAACTATATACCAACAAGATTGGGTAACACCTTAATTAGGAGAGCAAAATAAAGTATAAATACTTTCCCCTTTTTCTTTAACCTAGTGTTTTTAATATGTTTTGACCACAGGAAAGGCCTTTGACATTACATATGTGCGCCTGAAGTTTCATACCAGTCGGCCTGAGAGCTTTGCCATCTACAAGCGCACAAAGGAGGATGGACCATGGATACCTTACCAATATTATAGTGGCTCCTGTGAAAATACGTATCAGAAAATTAACAGAGGGTTTATCCGGACTGGGGAGGATGAGCAGCAGGCACTCTGCACAGATGAGTTCAGTGACATCTCTCCTCTCACGGGGGGCAATGTGGCTTTTTCAACATTGGAAGGGCGACCCAGTGCCTACAACTTTGATAACAGTCCTGTGTTACAGGTATGTGGATGGGGATGCCTAAGAGGCATGCAAGCGTGTCTTTTATGCGCTGTGGAAACCTGCTTGAAACTGGGTCCATGCCAGTCAATATAACGGTGAGTTTAGGACTGAGATGCAGGGCACAGTAGTGGTTCAGAGAGAATTGAGGAATATAATTATAAATTAAAAAAACTTGCCATATGCACTTAGGTAAATTCTGAACAAACTACAGAAAAGTGGAATGGTATGTTCAAATTGTCCTTGATTGTTGCTGTAATACGTTCCCTTATAGCTAAATAAATTAAATAAGTATCCAAATAATTCTTTATTTATTCTAAGAAATAAGAGACTAGATTATATGGATTTCTGTTAAGTTTTAATTTTAGTATCTACAATGCAAGGTTTTGTTACTGATACCCTCTAGAGGTAGAAGGTAGCACTGATGTTTATGTAGTTTGCTAATTATTTCCCATTTCATTTCTTGATGACATGTCCAGACAACTTTAACAAAGAGAAATAAAACAACAATGTTTTCCATAGCGCATGCCTGCTTCCTTTTTCAGCTACAATCAGCATACCCTCAAATTCTTTCCCCTCCATTTTGCCTGAAAATTCTGTAAAGTACAGAGCAATGTGAACACAGAGCAAGTTTTGATGACCTTTCCATATGTGTGTGACCCGTTTGGTATCCAGCAGCAGGAAGGAAAAGAAGGATCTAGTTCTTAGTTATACAAGTAAAGGATAAAAGGGGAAGGGGAAAGGAGAAACTTTTTCAATGAAAGAAAAACAGTTCAGCAACCTCATGCAACTGGTTCTCTCAGAGAATACTTTAAGAGATTGTTGATCAAAAGAATTAATAAGGCTTATGAGAGAGTGAAAAACCTCGAAGTGATGTCTTGAGAAATAATCAGAGATTCACTTTCTGTGAATAGACGCACTGCAGCATCCCTTCTCAGAACTTAGATGTACAGTTGTCTATGCATGAATTCCCATACACTCTTACCTGTGCTTTGCAGTTATGAGTATCCTTATTTTACTGCTTAAACAGTGCAAGCTCTGGAGCAATAGCACATCAATGCATTTTCATGCAGATTACTTTCATGCAACACTTGCAAGAGGACTGTATTAGAAATGCTAGAAAACAGACAAGCAATTTGAGCAGAGGTGGGCAAAATACAGCCCACAGGCTGGATCTGGCCTGCCAGGTGATTCCATCTGACCTGCAGAGCTCCTCCATAAGCCAAAAGAATTATCAAGGGCCCTAGCCCTCAGCTGCCCCTCTAAGCAACCAACCCCATCCCAGCCTGGCCTCACCTGCCCCCAGCCCCAAGCCAGCGGGTGCTAGAGACAAGAAGCTTTTGCCTGGCAACCCTGTGGCTGTTTCCCAGTCCTCTCTCCCTACAAGAGTGGGAATTCAGGTAAGGGCCCCACTAGGCCATGGCCAGAGACTCCTGCTGGGGGAAAGGGAGTCAGCGTGCGGAGCCAAATGATATAAAACTGGGCTGGGCTGGCCCCATGGGAGTTGCGTGCTCTGGGTTTGGGTTAGGCTGGCCCCACAGGCTGCCACCACGTGTGGCCAGGGATTCAGGTGGAAGTGTGGGAGCTACGCACTGTGGGGCTGGGTGGGGCTGGCCTCACTTGCTGTCACCACTTGCAGCTCCGGGGACTTGCACACTGAGGACCCCACCCCACATACACCCCACGCACTCATCCATACCCTCCCATGCCCCCCAGCTTGACCATACCCCCATACCATACCCCCAACACACCCATAGCTCTCCACACCACCATCCCCACACGCATGCCCACACCCTCCCACACAACCCCCACCCCAGACCCACACTCTGCTATACCCACACATACACACTCTCCACCACCCACACCCCACACATACACCCAACCCCCCCTCCATGTACACCCCCTTACATCCCCACACATAACATATATGAGTAAGACTGTATTTTGAGCTATTATGCAATTGTCTCTATATGTACTATGCAAATGCACATAAATCAGGACAAAATATTTTTGAAGTAAAATTTAAAATGTTTGATTTTTAAAGTATATGATTTGGGGTGTTTTTCCAGTTCCAAGATGCACCCCCTCCCAAGTACTTCTGGGGCAAGGGGAGGGACTTCCAGTGGCCAGGGTTAGGGGGCAGGACTTTCTGTCCCAAGATAACAACCAAGGAGGGGGCAGGGCACCTGTCAAGGCTACCCTTGTGGTCTTTGACAGCTCACCAAAACTCATTAAGCAGCCTTCTAGCTGAAATAATTGCCCACCCCTGGATTAGAGACCAACTAACATTCTCTAGGAAAAGCTAATGTGAAGTTTGGGGGGCAGATTCCATTCATTGGCAGAGGCTAGAGGAAGATAGGATGTGGTATTAAAGATGCTATATAAATATTATGAAAAGCTCTTATGTTCTAAGTCAGATTGACTTGTCTGTTTTTTTTCCTCTCTCTCTCTCTCTCATCAGATATGTGTGTATCTGTCTGCCTCTGTACTTGTATCTCAGGGTGTTTGGCTACAAATTAGTCTAGCCTAGATTTGCTTTCCATTCTTGCTGTGCTGTTTTGTAGGGGAACTGCAGTTGGTTAGATTTGTGCCATTTGCAATCATACAAGTTTGTACTGTGTTCTTTTTTTTTTAAGGAAGTAATACCCCTTATTTCCCAGACACGGAGGGGACAAGGTAAAGTATACAGAATTAATAAAGAGAAACTAGGAAATGTATTTGTTTGGAATTTACAAAATCCTAATCTGAAGAAAAACATTTGAGCTGAAAGGAAACGGTAGAGTTTTAGGAGAGGGAAGAAGCAATTTTAGGTGGTAAGGAAAGAAAAATCATTGAGCGGAGGTTAGTTGTAGTCATGAGTGACTTCTAGCATAATTCTGTTCTTTGTGAATACTCATCCTAATCATCAGAATGTGAAAGTGCATTTGAGTTTTTTCTTGGTATTTGAGTCTCATCCTGCTGAGGTTTGTGTTTCTTTTAGGAATGGGTGACGGCTACTGACATCAGTGTGTCCCTTAATCGCCTGAACACCTTTGGAGATGAAGTTTTTAATGACCCGAAAGTTCTCAAGTCTTATTATTATGCAATTTCTGATTTTGCTGTAGGTGGCAGGTGAGTAAATTACTACTAGAGGCTTAGTACTGGCATAATTTTGATTATAGGACTACTTTTAATTAGACTAATGTTTATTCTCAGTGGGTGTTTAGTATATAGTTCCTAAAGCCTTAAAGTAGAAACACAACACAATGTCTTAAGAAGTTTGTAAGCACTACTAGCAAACACTAAGTGTTTGAAGTGTTTCAGAATTAGTTGCATACAATTTCTAACTGCTTAACATGCATAAACTAATGTTGTTAGAAACTGTAGGGAAGGGAAGGAACAAGCTTTAGAACAAAGCTTGGCGGGAGGGGGGTGGAGTTTGTTCCTTGTCCTGCAAGTCAAAAAGCGTTAAAATAATCCAGAGAGGAATAGCTATTAACATGCAAACATAAGGTATCTTGTCTTTGTACCTTTGAAATGAATCTCCCCTTAGCAGGACCATATCTATTCTGCAAAAATGGCAGATATTTATTGCCCTTCCCCTTTCGGTGCAGGAATGTATTGCAGACTCTACACTATTTTTTCCCTCAAATAAAATCTTAAAAGCACAAGTGAAATCAGTAAATGGTTGCCTTCAAATAGTTTAATCTTATAGATGTGAACTGTCATCAGCAGGGTATTAACTTTGGAATTTAGATATCAGCACTAACTACTTTACTGCTTACAGCAGAAACATGCAGCTGCCGTGCTTAGCCATTTTTGTTGAATTCAGTAAAAGCTGTAGGGTAGGGGAAATGTATTGCTTTAAGGCCCTCCCACAGTTTTACTTCCCCACTCTCTGCTCATGAGGAGGAGTATAAGAAGTCTATTTTGGCCCCAGTATTGAAGCTTCACCAATCTATTGATTACAAAACAGCCTCCTAATTGTTCTTTGAGATCTGAAAGCTCTCTCCAACTATGAGCTGCCCACTGACAGTCTTTACAGTGCTGTGTGTTCACGGGTGGGTGTACAAGTGCAAACAGAATCTTCTACCAAATGGAAACAGGGGGCACCATAAACCAGTGATTCTTAACCAGGGTGCTGTGGCAGCCTGAGGTGCCTTGAGATCTATTTAAGTGTGATATACAATTTTAAAACTATTAGGTGTGCAAACACCTACACGATTCACAAGATAAACCCAAATAGGAATCTGCAGTGTCAAAAGAATTCTGAGTTCTTCTCAGAAGAAGAATTGCTCTGTTACTCTTTCCATATTCAAAAAATGAGTGAAAACTAAGAGCTGGCATTTTTTGAGAGGTGCCTTGAGTGTAACAAAAGGTGCCTTCAGTCTAAAAACATTGAAAACCACTGCCATAAACTAAAAAGCCAGAAAGCATGGAGCACTTTGTGCTTAAATCTTAATACCACTAGGACGTGATTGAGGAGAAATCTCATAAACATAAGTCTCAATGATCTGGATACTGAGCCTGCTTTGAGTGGCCCAGGTCTTTTGAGTTCAAGATGTATTATGGTAGAAGTTAATACATTGTCTTTCATTTCTACTATTATTTAGGTGTAAATGTAATGGCCATGCAAGTGAGTGTATGAAGAATGAGTTTGGGAAGCTGTCTTGTGTCTGCAAACACAATACATTTGGGGTAGACTGTGAGAAGTGCCTTCCTTTCTACAATGACCGTCCGTGGAGAAGAGCAACAGCAGAAAGTGCCAGTGAATGCTTGCGTAAGTGGCTCTGTTCAAGAGAACTCTGTCTGACCTGCACTGCTGCCTTTGGCAGGCTGGAATGGGCAGCCATACAGTACATTTTTAATGTTATGAAGTGCCATTTCTTACCTTTGCTGCTTCTTGGTGAGCCCCAGTTTTTTCCAAATTTTGTCATGTCTTGTCCACACTAGACTTTGCATTTTAAACAGCTTGCAAATGTGCGTTATGTATTTTCACTCAGCAGAGTGACAGTAAGTCATAAATTGGGTTTTCAAAAGCACCCTAATGACTTTGGGATCACTTGACTCTCCACTCAGTAGTGTAACTAGGATGGGCAAGAATGGCACTTGTCTTGGGTGCTAAGTTAGGAGAGGTGCTGGAATCACTACCCCCCCACCCCGCAGAGTTTGCCACAGTGATTGTTTTGGAGCCCTAGCATGGCAGTGTTGCTGGGGCCTGCCTCCTGCCCCTCCTGCTCTGAGTCCTAGTTCCTGCCTCTTCCCCAGCTCCTGCTGTGGTCTGTGATGTTGTGTGCAGTTTCCAAATGAAAAACAGGTGATGTCAAATATTAATTTGAATAAGAGAGTCATTTCCAGCAAAGCCCTAGCCATAGTAAAAACACAAATTTCTAGAGAATAAGGACCAGACTCCTGGGTTATACCTTTGACTGGGAGGGAGCACTAAAACTGAAAAGATATATTCCGTTTGATAGAGGTGCACCAATAAAATGGTCTGATATCAGAACAGCACTGATATAAAGAATATTTTCTGTACCAGAAATCGGCCTGATGCAGCCAATAATTTGTCCAATAAATGCCCGTGCGTGCGCACAGCGCAGCTCGGCATATACGCAGTGAGGAGCAGAGCAAGCAGCATGGAGTGCTGCGTGCAGCTGGTAAGTCTGGTGTGGTGGAAGGGGAAGAGGAGAGGGGAGGGGCATGAGAAGGCAGATCAAGGCCCCCATGGTGAGGGAGTGTGTGAGGATGGGGCCGGGGAAGAGGCTGCCCAGCTGGGGCCAGGGCAGGCGTGGGACGGAGGTGCAACTTGTTGGGGGCGGTCCTCAGAAGGGGAGGGGGCAGCTCCTACTGCTCTGTGCGGCTCATCCCATGCTCGTCTGGTGGCCGCTCGCCTGGGAGGGCATGGGGGAGGCATGTGCCCCCCAGATAGCGTGGGGCAGACTGGGCCCAGGCTCTTCCCAGCTGGACAGATCTGGGCCCCCCCACCCCCCATGCTCTCCCAGGCG